AGTGCAGGGGGGAAGTCGTCCTCTGGAGTGCAGGGGGGAAGTGCAGGAGGGAAGGGGTCCCCTGGAGTGCAGGGGGACAGTGTCCCTGGGAGGGGCTGCAGGTCCCCCGGAATGCAGGGGGGAAGCGGTCCTCCAGAGCTATCTGCTCTCCTAGGCTCAGTGCAGCACTACTCACAATAGCCAAGATGTGCAAACAGTGTAATTGCCATAGTTCCAGAAGGTAGTTCCAGAAGTCAGAGGTGGAGAAAGGCCAGGAGTGCCTGGGAGATCTCACTCCTCTACGGGAACAGGGGCTCCCATGTTTTGAAACTACCCGGAAGAGAAGCCTGTTGCTGACCATGGAGTAGTGGCTTCCTTTGTCTTTTGCTGGGGTACTTCAGTGATTCGTGCTCACGGTGATTTCTGAGGCTCAACCATACTCCCGGTCTCTCCTCACCTCTCCCTGGGCCCCACGCTGCCTACTCAGGCCACAGTCCCCCTCATTCCCTGAGGGAATGAGCCCCCTCAGGCTCATTCCTTGTCTCCCTGCCCCACCCTTCCCCTCCTCCACTTCTCTTGCAGACTAGCCCCCAAGCCTACCTGCTTCCAAAGTCTAGCTCTGATATCTTATGCCCTCCTCCCATCCACCCTTCCCCTTCCTGCCCCTTCCCTCCTACCCCCTTCTCTCATTCACATGCTTTAAAAATTATGATAAAATACACATATCATGAAATTTACCACTGTAACTATTTTTAAGCACATTCACATTGTTGTGCAACCGTCAGCACCATCCATCTCCAGAACTTTCTCGTCTTCTCCAACTGAACCTCTGTCCCCATTAGACACTGACTGCCCAGCCCCTCCCCCAGCCCCCAGTGCCCACCCTTCTGGTCTCCATCTCTGTGAATCCGACTATTGCAGGGACCTTCTGTAAGTAGAATCATACAGAATTTGTATGACATCTCTTTTCACTGATCATAATGTCCTCAAGCTTCATCCATGTTGTAGCAGGTGTCAGAATTTCCTTCCCTTTTATGGCTAAATGGTATTCCATCCTATGTATGTACAGAATACATCTTGCTCAGCCATTCTTCTATTAATGAAGACCTGAGATGCTTCTACACTTAGCTATTGTGAATTGCTATGAACATGGCTGTGCAAATATCTCATGAAGACCTTGCTTTCACTTCCTTTGGGGATACACCCAGAGCGGGACTGCTGGATCATATGGCATTTCTATGTTTAATTTTTGAGGCTCCCCCACACTGTTTTCCGTGACAGCTGCACAATTTCCCTTCCCTGCCAGCAGAGCACAGGTGTTCCTATTTCCCCTCGTCCTCTCCAGCACTTGTTATTTTCTGGGTTTTTATTTTTATTTATTTATTTATTTTTATTTTTTTTTTAAATTTTTTTTCAACGTTTTTATTTTTATTTTTGGGACAGAGAGAGACGGAGCATGAACGGGGGAGGGGCAGAGAGAGAGGGAGACACAGAATCGGAAACAGGCTCCAGGCTCTGAGCCATCCGCCCAGAGCCCGACGCGGGGCTCGAACTCACGGACCGCGAGATCGTGACCTGGCTGAAGTCGGACGCTTAACCGACTGCGCCACCCAGGCGCCCCTTTTCTGGGTTTTTAAATAGTGTTTGTTCCAATAAGCGTGAGGTGGTAGCTCACTGTGGTTTGATTTGCATCTCCCTATTGCTTAATGGTGTTGAGCATCTTTTCACGTGCTTACTGGTCATTTGAACATCTACTTCAGGGAAAGGTATATTCAAGTCATTTGCCCATTTTGAATTGGGATTTGTTGCTGTTGAGTTTTGTGGGTTCTTTATATACACTGGATACTAATCCCTTACCATATGTGTACATGTGTATGTATGTGTACATATGTTCATACATGTGTATGTAACTTGTAAATACTTGCTCCCATATGGTGGGTTGCGTCTTCACTGCATTGACCATTCACATTCTTTCATTCTAAGGTATAGTTGATGTACAATATTATTCGTTTCAGGTGTACAACATAGTGATTCGATAACTGTACACACTCTGTCCCCATGTCATGTTATTACGGGGTCGTTGGCTGCGCCCCCAGGCTGGACTTTCCATTCCGCACACCTGCACCTGGGAGCTGCGAGTGTGTCTCGCGAGTGTGTCCCCTCCCCATTGTCGCCCACCCCTCACCCCGCCCC